CATAAACATGACACTACCCCCGGGGTTTACACAGACGAGCCGGCGAAGCAAGAAGAGCGCCAGAAGAAAGGGCCCTAGCCGGCGGGGCCCAGCCAGGACAAAAGGAGGTCCCACAAAGCGCCTACACCGGCCGCATTTGCGGTCGGGGTAGACGACGGATGGGGCCCACCTACGAAGGCTGTCCAGGCCTACACGAGATGAGGCAGGATAAAGAGGGATAATCCCCCTCGATCCCAAATCATTGAGGCCAATTTCTAGCCATAACTCATTATAAAATAAAATTGGTTATTTGCTTACTTCACTCGTATTTATTATGCTACATTCACTTGGGACACATGGAACACTAGCGCCACCCCAACTTCTGCCATTTCTTGGACAAATTTTGTCAATTTTCCCTTTTGAGTTCGTGCTCCTTGTCTAGTCTCCCTGTAATTATTCATCAAGTTCTTGACGACTTAGAGCATGTTCTAATTTTCGTCAATTTTTGTGAAGTTCGGAAGTACCAACCCAACAGATTTCCAGCCTCAGATCAGTAATGAGGTTATGTTATTGGAATATGTAAATAATTGTGTGGCGTCGTACTAGTTTTGCATTGTTTTTACTGATTTGTTACTTACAAAAACTATTTATGTGTCAGAACGGTACCGCTGTTGTATCACTACAATTATGAGTGGAAAGGTGAAATTTTTGAAATTTATTTGCTTCTTTGACTCATTGGTAGAACTGATTCATACGTCAAAAAACTTGACGAAGTCTGTAGCAGTGTAAAACCACACGGTTTATCAATAAATTTGTGAATTAATTCATGAAGAACTTCGTCAATTTATTCATCAATAAATTGTCAATGTAAAACAGCTATTAGATACTGATTAAATTTGTGATAAAAAGATATGTAAAATATTATTTGTCTAAGAACTGTTGTCACATTAATTTTGTTACTTATTCTCTTTAATTTTTCTGGTAATGGCAGTGTATAAATCTTTTTAGAGTGGTGACGTACAAAGAAGTAGACAAATCCAATTTTTTCACTATGAGCGCTAAAGGTGTGCTGCAACAGATAGGATCTGACGTAGTGTTTACCAATTTGGACAAGTGGGAGGAGGAATACAACATGTACTGCAGATTGATGGAAATCAAGACGTTCCACAATTTTCGAAAGTGGAAAGGATTTTACGTTTGGAGGAAGAACATCCTATATGACAAATTCAATTCGTCGCAAAATCGTCTAGCCAATAACATGCTGATGCTGAATCGTATTATACGAGGGGCGCTTTTGGGTATACAGAAAATGTGTTATGTTGTGGTGGATGATTCGTTTGTTGATCTAAGATGTATCGAAAATCTCTGGCTGTTTTATTTTATTGAAACCCAGGTAATGTGTGCTCATAATTTATTGAAATAAGATTTGAAGCAAACATTAAATACAACTGAAATAAACTTTTCCAAATTTAAATTAGGCAGAAAGGTAATACTATACAGTGGCAGCGTAGCATGGGTTGGTATCCGGGGCGGTTTTATTGAGCATCTCCAAAATAAAACAACAAATACTAAATGTGTTTATATGACTTTAGATTGCTAGAATATTTTATCACATCAAAATTTACTTTCTTGTCCTTTTCAATGGAAATATTGGTTAGTAACGTTTGGCTCATCGTGGATCTTAAGTAATATTTTATCAACTTTAATTTTGAAAAGCACAAGTAGTTAAAAAAAGTCTTAGACACAACGCTAGTCTCGGAACAGACGCAGAATGGCCCTATTTTACAATGAATCGCAGCCGCTCAGAAGTACTGGACCGCTTCTTAGGAAGAAATGAAAATTTTGAAATATACAGGGTGTCCATGAAAAGCGTACCATATCAAAGTTATGTTTTTTTAAATGGAACACCCTGTATTTAACTGCATTTTTGAAAGCACGTAAAAAATAGGTGAACTTTATTAAATGTTCTGCATACCTAGTACTTACAGTTTGTGAGATGTTTCAATTTTAGTGAAAATGCAGGCATAGTGTAGAAATTTAATATTAGCAATAAAAAAATAATTTTAAGTAAGCAGCTTTGGAGGGCTTTCTTTTGGATCTTTGAAGTTATAAATTGTTATATTTGTTGTCACTTAGTATTATAAAGGGTGTCCAAAAAACTGCTGAATACTTCTCTCAACTTTAAACAGCAATAACTTGGTTATTTTAAATGGAACACCCAGTATATTTTTACTTTGGGAGTTGGGAAATTTAAAACTTTCAAATTGTATATAGGTTCCCTATACCTATCTCTAACGGTATTAGAGATATTTGTGCCGTTTCGTTTTTTATCGATTTTTTTTTTGTAAGATGTATCCACGTGTCTTTATCGAGGTCTTTACTGAATTGGTTTGGGTTCTTCTTGATGACGTCTCTTTAAATATAAGGAGAAAAATGTAAATGCAATTAGATGGCGCACCTGCACATTTTTCATATTCAGTGAGAAATTATATAAATCGATAATTAAGTAATAAATGAGTAGGTAGAAATGGTCCATGTCAGTGGCTACCACAGGTGTCCAAACTTCCCGTAATGGACTTCTTTGTTTGGGGCTATAAAAAACCTTGTACATACTGTTCCACCTACTACTTGCGATGATGTGAAACGAAGGATTAGACCAGGGGTCGGCAAGTAATTTTAGGTGGGGTCCGGATACTTTTGAAAATTTTTAACGAGGTCCAGAAAAAAAATTCATCTCTTTTTTTTATTTTAATTTGGACTGAAATTTAATCTGCTTAGTTACATTAAGAACTCAAAACACTCACACAATTGTAAAATACTATAAAAATGATAAGATTGGCACTTAAACGTAAAAAACATTTTTTAAATAATTTATTTGAGTAATTTATACTTTCAAAAAATTTTTGGCGGTCCAGTATTTTACCTTCCGCGGTCCGAACCTGGACCGCGGTCCGCCAGTTGCCGACCCTTGGATTAGACGATTAGAGATACATTTGCCACAATCACCCCAAATATTCTAAGAAATGTGAGAATATCATATGAAGATAGAATAAGATGCTGTATTCAAGAGAATGGTTGTCAATTCGAACATCTATTAAAATTTTTCGTTGTCTCTTCTAAGAGTAAAATTTTATTTAATAAATATTTTTCATGTTCATAAATAATTCAGTTACTACAAACATATTTATACAAAATTAATAACTTTTTATAATTATTCTGCTTATCAAATAATATTTTTTATTAGAAAACTTTTTTGAATATTGTCATGATAATGATAAAACGAAATCTTACTTTTATTCTATCTTCAAATGATATTCTCACGCAAATGTATATCTAATCCTTCCCTTTACTATCATCGCAAGTAGTAGGTGGAACATTATGTACAAGATTTTTTATATTGCTCGCAACAAATAAGTCTGTGAGGTCTGGACTCCTACGTGGCCACTGACGTGCACCATTCCTACTTGTCCATTTGTTACTTAAATTTTCGATTTAAATAATTTCTCACTGAATATGAAAAAATTGCAGGTGCACCATCTAATTGCATCCTCATTTAGAGAGACGTCATCAAAAAGAACCCAAACCAATTCAGTAAAGACCTCTATAAAGACACGTGGGTACATCTTACAAAAAAAAAATCGATAAAAAATGAAACGGCACAAATATCTCCAATACCGTTAGAGATAGGTATAGGTATACACAGTTTGAAAGAGTTTTAAATTTCCCAACTCCCAAAGTAAAAATATACTATATAATAGCCAAGTTATTGCTGTTTAAAGTTGAGAGAAGTATTCAGCAGTTTTTTGAACATCCTGTATAATACTAAGTGACAACAAATATAACAATTTATAACTTCAAGGATCCAAAAGAAAACCCTCCAAAGCTGCTTTCTTACAATTATTTTTTTATTGCTAATATTAAATTTCTACACTATGGTTGCATTTTCACTAAAATTGAAATATTTCACAAACTGTAAGAACTAGGTATGCAGAACCTTTAATAAAGTTCCCCTATTTTTTACGGTGCTTTCAAAAATGCAGTAAAATACAGGGTGTTCCATTAAAAAAAAACATAACTTTGATATGGTACGCTTTTCCTGGACACCCTGTATATTTCAAAATATTTTTAAAATGTAGCCGTAATCAACCTACACATACCCACCTAAACAGGTTTCTGTAACATTTGCCGTTTGGTCACTAGCGACCGAGGCGTTACTGGTGGCCCACCCTGTATAT